AATTATTATATATTGCATTCTACTTATTTCATAACATGTGGAGATCCTGCAAAATGATTTGAAGACATACCTTTGTCTGCCTCACTGGGCCAAAGTTTGTCTCACTGTATACAAAACTGTTTTCTACATTTTATAAACTGCATTTTAATAAAGGAATTGCTATCTCTTATCTAGACCCCTCTATTCCCACCTGTGAAATTGACTGATGTTTCTTAAACTTCTAAGGAGCTACCCTTGTGGATATGTTTTTTGGTTCAAAAAAAAGTTAGGAAATAGGTATTCATAGAAACACCTTAAAAATATTTTTTAATGATGTAGGAAGAGAGCTAAACACTAAGAAGAAAGCCCTAAAAATAGTCAACGTACTCAGAGTGAAAATAATGGCAAAATTTCCTACGAACACTTTTGGCAATTCAGTAAAGTTTGTGAATTCCTACTTAGAAAATTATTTTAAGTAAAGGAAAATGCATAGACTCAGGAGAGAAACCAAATATGTTGAAATACAGGCATCCAAATAGTTACAAATATGTTGAAATACAGGCATCCAAATAACTAACTCTAAAATGTATTAATATCTGTGCATCTTAATGATGGATCAACAAGAGCCAGTAACAGAGCTAAAAACTATGTCAATGTGAAGTTATGTTTGAAAACTGCCTCAAATTATGAATTTTAATTATAGTTATTTCAAGGAATCTACAACAACTCTAATAAATGTAATGTGAAAATATATCCTCCTTCTATTGGTGACAAATTTACAGGTACTGCTAATACTACTGAGATGTATTGTCTATATACTAAATGGGAGAAAATGCTAAGTTTTATTCTAGGTATTAGTGAAAATAAAGTTTTAATTATTTCCCATCTCACTTCATGGAAACTCTAAATTATATCCAGAGAGGGATGCTCTCCTGTTTACCACCCCCTAAGTTATGAACCCAACCAGACTGTGTAAATAGGTTGTAGGAGACTCCTTTTGTTTCCTACTGAAAAGCTGTCATGTTTTGACAATGCTAACAATTGTACCGGATTATTCTCTTAAGCCTTTAAAGGATACCTCAAGGTAAACAGATAAAATAAATATTGCAAGTATACACTATGTGAAGACACATGAAAATATTGTAGCATGTAATGTTTCTTTTTTAAAAAAAATCAAAGACATACTATAAAATAGTGTTATAATGACATTTTCAAGTGAAATTATTTATTTGCCCCTTGTACATGGAAAACACATAGTGGCACACAATTCTAAGAATAAAAAGGTACTAAAAGGGCTTCTTTCAGCTCTTTACTGTTTTATTCAGTAAAACGGAAGAGTTAGCTAGTTTCTGTCTTGAAGCATTGTTCACCTTCTTGCAGTTCATTTCCAGGACTAATGACAATAGGCTTATATAAAGAGAATTATTGAAACAAAAAAATCCTCTTTCAGCATTTATTATGTGCTATAAAATATCATATTTAATCATTTTTGAGGGTTTAGGCCATATATGAGGCTGTACTACTGGGCATTTCATTTATGACTTCATTTGCGTTTTGACCACCAGTGAAATTATTTAATACTACCCGGCATATATAAAATATATATAATATGACATAGAGGCTAAGAATTAAAATATTACTGAATATACCACTTTAACAAATAGATTCTCTTGCAAACAGTCATACTTTTTAGTCAATGCAAGATATGAATTGCTATAAGGAAATAATATCTGTTGAAATTTTAAATGCTTAATTTCTTAAAGTAAAAATGGGTTAAGGAGAGCAGTTATGCATTAAATAATAAAGACATATTTTTGTATTCTAATCAGAGAAAAGAGATGTCAGCACCAGTTGGAATTTTAAAAATAAGATCATTTCAATCTTTCTCCTAAAATATTTGGTAGCATAAGTGACAATTATTTTAATACCAAATATAGCTAACATAATTATTGTATAGAATACTATCTGAATTAAACGTTGAAAGACAGAAGGGCCACTGATAAATTTAGAAAATTTAAATTTTCAAAGAGCTTATATAAACACTGTAATTGATCTTTTCACTGCTTATGTCATCCAAGGCATTTTTTAAGTTGCTGGTTAACTAAAACTGTAGCATTATATACATAACAGCATTACATAAAGAGACGGAGGTGATTTGTGAATTATACCATGGCAATCACAACAAGTGCCCAGTGTCTGGGGTGAGAAATTAAAAATACAAAAAGAAAACAACGACATATCATCTTAAGAAGAACTGTTTTAAGTCCAAAGGTATTTGAGAGAAGAAAGTAAAGATACAAAAAGAAAACAATTGCATATCATCTTGGGAAGAACTATATTAAGTCCAATGGTCTGCCTCTTATCCCTTCCTTGAAGGCAAAATAAACTATCAGATAAAACAATGAAACTAATACATTCCCATAATTTACACACACAATTTCACTAGTTTCCTCAAGGTTATATAGGTTACATAATTGTTATTCCTCTGAGATATGTTGTCAGGAGTGAGGGCAAAGACTGCAGTGACTTTATTTTTCTACTTTCATAAGCTCTTACGTAAAAAGAAAATGCTATTTAATATTCATAAAATATAAATGAGACACTTTCAAAAATATATGAATCACTTCTTAAATTTCATTTTATCCTTAAGAAACTGCAACCTTACCTAATTCTCCCATAAATTTATCTCTTATCATGAGGTTGAAGGCTCAACCACATTGCTCAAGAAAAAGAGTATAAGAAGCATCTTTTAAATTATGTGTGGAAGGAAAACGTGTGAAAGGGGCAAGTAGGAGATGAAATAGTCATGGGAACAAATGTCCATGTGGTTCAAATTACTTAATGTACCAAAACTCCCAATAATACTATCAGTAATGAGCCCAAATAAAAGTAAGCAAAATGTTCCTTAGTTTTTTCTCTTAAGAAAAGTATACAATGTCAATATGAATTTTAGTATATGAAACTTGAATTCAGAAAGAGCAAGAGAAAGTTCAGGAAGTTCATTTTATATACTTTGTTTTAGCTTTATTTTATCCCATTATATCAAAAGTTCATTTTATTGTATTTTTGGCAATTTGAATACATAATAAAAAATTCACTGAATAAAAAAAGAAGTTGGAATGTTAACACAGAAAAATTCATGAAATTCTTACTGCCATCATACAATCCAAGGCATGGCTGATGGTGAGAACTCCAGGCATGTGTTTGACCAGGAAGATTGTGAACTCATAAAGGACAAGAAGGATGGTTCTATTACTTATTTTATTATTCTAAATAGTCCTTCCACTACTATGTTTTTAAAACATGTGAATTTAATTGTATTTATACAGAGAATCATAGATGCAAAACCTAAATTAAAAGGGTGTTTAATTGAAAAACTAGTCATAGAAGCTTCAACTAATTATTACTTCATTAAATATGAGAAGAAAAACAGTAGAAAAACTAAGGAAGAAAAGGAAAATCAAACTTGATATATGACTTCTGTCTCTCATTTGAGGAATATATGGTACTAGCCAAGTGATACTAAAACTTAAATTATAGCAGAAGAAAATGAAAATGAACACAATTAATTTGTAAAATTTTTGAAAAGAAAAATCTTAGATTTTAGTTTTCAGTTTTAGTTCACAAATTCCTATTAACCACATATATGAATATATATGAAAATATTTTTTTCTCTTCTAAAACCAGGAAGGATATTTAACAGCTGCTTAAATAGTCTTTTAACAAAAGCTTTTGCATGTAAGCATAATTCTCACAGCCAAAGTTGAACAAGTTTCTTTTAGGAACAGAATTAAAAAGAGGGAACACAAAAGTAATAAAGAATAAAGAATTATGAAGTCAGGGAATAGTTGTTTAGGACATCACTCATTTCTATCATCTGCTTGATTTAAAATGTTATTACAAAAGATGTTTAATTGCCATAAATTTTTCCCTCTAAGAAGAGACATTGGATTTAAGGTTGTTTTTTTTTAATTTAATTTTAAAATGTATTTATTCTGCTCCTTTAGCCATTAGAGCTTCCAAGCGTATCCCTAAAGTCTGTAGGAACTACGAGAAGATTCTAAGAGAGTACAAAGAGCAGAGCCAGCTCTAATCCAAGCCATGGAAGTCATCTTTATTTTAATTAATTTACTTTGCCTTTATGAACTTAAGAATCTTTCAAGGAGGTTGACATTTCACTCATATGAAAAAGCTTGGAATGTGACAGAGTAAAGGGAGGAGAAGTAAATCAAAGGGGTTAGCAATTTTCCAGATGCAATGTATTTTTCTTCTCTTCTTTTCCACCAGAAATTTTAGAACGCTTTCTGACATTTTAATTCTCTATGCAAAAACCACAGTAGCAAAAAATGCTTAAGGCATAATATGTCAAGAAACAAACACACATGCATGTGAGCATGCACATACGCACAAAATGAATATAAATTCCAATTCACTGATGCTTTAACAGAAAGTGTAACTTTCAGTGCAGTATCAATTAGCTGTTTATGTGTACAGTTTAATCAACACAATCTTAGTTTAAAATCAATAGCAAGATTTGCAAATTTTTTTCTTTTTTGTGATGATTAAGTAATTGAATCTCTATGCAGGTTTCTTCATTGTAAAAAATGGCATTTATAAAGTCTGCTCCTATGTCTATATTTTCGATCACACCAGAGTATTTTAGTTATCACCTTTAGGCATGTGGCTTCAGGAAACTATGCCCAAATATCTCACGCAAATATTGGTTATTTTAAAAGGCCTCTTTTTTAACAGAGTGGAAATTCACTAAAACGTCAAAAGGTAAAAACAAAAATAAAAATGAGGCTTGAAAATAAATTCTCAGCAATAGAGTTTATGACCACTGCTTTTTGGAGTGAGAGAGAGAGAGAGGTTAACTCCCCGAAACACCCTGGTTCAATATTTACCTGACAGCTTTGGCATCTCAACATTTTCCCCAGTGCATTTCCTTCTTTATCAGGTATTATTTTACAAGGGATTTCTTGTTATACAGAAGTAACATAAATCAATCTATAACAGAAGAATTTGTTTAACACATTTATTCTTTAATAAGTTGCATGATCATATTTCATTGGCTTGTACAATAGAAAAAGAAAATCTTACTACTAAAACAGAGTTTGTGGAGTTGGGCACATGGTAAACTATTTAGTCTTTTCAGAGGTTCATTCTTAGATTTTAATGTTAAATAACAACTATTCATTTAAGCTGGTCTCACTGAATATCTTGACCTTTAGCAATTCCACACACAGCAGCTTATTGTGGTATCTTTTAAATATGAGAAATAAGAATGTTTAACTTTGCTATTAAAAGAAAAATAAAAGAGTACTGTATGTTACATGGCCCATGAAATATTGGCGGTGTGCTCCTTAGCTTTCATTCGAAGAACTGCGATACTGGAAGACCTCCTTTCAAACTCTGGCTTTGTTTCAAATGCATGTCCATTGGTTGCCCCAGTAAGAAGAGAGTCAGTGAAAAAATTGTTGAGGGGCATGTGGCTGAACTGGTTCTGGTGGTTTGAAAACCCTGTGTAACTGGAATCTGTCCGAGGCGAGTGAGAATAAGGTGTCATACAGGAGGAAGTGTCACGTGGTAACATGCATGAAGTAACCACAGAACCACCACTTGCATTTCCTGCCCACAAATTGTTCTGAATCTGGAATATATAAAAGAACAAATATTACATTTACATGTTCTCACTTTTGTTCTCTTATGTTTGTTAAGTTGTATTTACTAAATTTGGTTAACTATTCATTGTTTGTTCCTGTTGGGTGGTCTGTAATTACATTCAACAATGACTGAAAAATAATTATTTGAGAGATCCTTCTAGTTTATTAAACTGAAATAGAGCAACCAATCCCACATTCTTGGCCACAAAACATACTCTGAAACATGTCTATCTCTTATTTTAAAAAGTATTCTTTTTATAGTCACAATTTTAAAAATGAATCTGGAGTAGTTTAAAATCTGGTTTTAAGTTTAAAGATAGGTTTTGTCTTTCTAAACAAAATGACACGAATGCATTTTTTTTTAATTCTAAGATGAGCTCTTGGTGTCGCAATTTTTGTTGGAAACCGTTGCTGACAATAGACTGTTCTGCAAAAATATTTTTGACCAAACCCATTCTGAAAAGTGTTTTCCCTCCAATTGCTTTTTGTGTCCTATCATCTTGAACAGCTCTGAGAATCTGGGAAATTACAAAATATGTAAATATGCATATTTTAAAAAGTTACTCTATGATGTATATATCATATAATGAATTCCAAACAGACATGTGACATGTAAAACAAAGTTATAACTTTAAAACATGGGCTATTACCAAATAATGGAATCATAATTGAGAAAGATATGCAACTATTTAGCAAAAATATCAGATGAGTATAATGCAGTTACTCTTATGTTATAGAGTACTCCTATATAATAAAATCTGCATTATCATTCATATCCGAGATATTCACATTTCATTTTATTAAATCTCCGCAGAAAACATTTCAGTGGAATATTAACAACAAGTACAAATTTATCTAAAGTTACTAGCATATAAAAGAAACATGAAGTAGGACTTATATAACATGAATTTTAAGTAGGACATATCTCAATCAATATGGAAGCTGTTTAAACAAAAACAGCAACCGCAGACCTTACTGGGAAGTTCAGAGAAAATCATGACAAATGGCAGGAACTGAAGAAAAATGAAAAAAAAAATTGTTGCATGGGATAGTAATACTATGATGCAGGCCTTTGAAGATGAAATAAAACTGAATGCTTTTAGCAACATTATTATAATACATTTTGACAAGAACATAGCAGCAATACACATGTTAATCATATCTGGCTTTCTTATCTTTGTAAATCATGATTGTAAGAGTAGAATCATCAATAAGTAGGACACATATATTTTCCTATATTTGTTTTTACATAAAGATTCCAGGCTCCTACATATAGCATCTGGTGTAGTCTTAGAATATTCATGCTTGAATTGTACTTTCTATGACAACTAATTTTCGTTTAATAGCAAAAAGTAAATCTTCTGGATAACACTGGTAAAAAAAGGTACTCTGTCACTCAAGAAAAGACTGATTAACCCATTTCAAAGTGTAAGAGAAAATCCTTAATAAGTAATTTCAACCTTTAGGTGGGGTTTCACTGATTGTCTAGGTGCTTATATATCTGTATCTTAAAAAAATAATTCCTTATATAAATATATGTGTAAGCTGCTTTAAACCTGTCAAATATATATATATGTAGAGAGACAAAGAGTCAGAGAGATCTACATATCTATATCTAAACATGTATCTATATGATTTGCATATTTTGTTAATGCTTAAATTGTCTCAGGCTATGTTCTAATTCTGGCTCATTCTACTACATGTATTCCATTATAGCCAAAACATAGTGATTGGTACCAGTGATTGCTTAGTTAGGTACCACAAACCAACAAGAAGGCTATTAATATCATTACTCTGTCAAACTACCTCTTCTAACTTTGGGTGATTTTCCTCTGACATTCAATCACACATTGTGCTACTCGGCAAAAAACACAGTCACATGTCTGACATAAGAGCTTTCATAAATGAAAGTGAACTTTGCTTGCTTATTTGAAAAAAGAAAAGGAAGACAAGATAATGAAAGAGAAAGATTATTTATATTTTGTCTGTTAAGGAATTGCTTGATTTATACACAAAGTTTCTTGATTTTTTTGATTAAAATAATTCATTTATATTCCGAATGCACAGAGATATATTCACCAACTAGGTAAAAAAGCTAATGTCAGAAAGGTAAAGGCAAGACAAGTAATCTATGAATATTAATTAGGAAAATATTGTCTAACAATTAACACAAATCTACCTATAAATTGAAAAATATTCTGTAGAGTAGATGACATAAGCAAATTTTATTTTGATCAAAACATCTTATCTGGAATGATCAACCAAGTTAAATGCATTACTTTTGATGAAAGAATTTCTAACATATAGACATGTTTTTCTGGGCAGAACAGACTGGTAAAGTAAATATGACAGTAATATTTTAGTTGGGCTTGAGAAGATACCCTAAAATTTAAGACTGTCTTATTCCCATGGGTAGAGATGCTCTCACACATTTTTACTGATATATCCTGTTTTCAAAATGTCTATTTCTTCCTCCTCCCCAGCCCCACTGCTGATCTTTCCTTTTTAAACTTTTTGACATATCTTTATTTGACTTTAGAAACATTGTTGTTTTCCACATTGTAAATTTGTTTAAATGAAAATTATAAAAGATAGTATCCTCAGTAAACTGTGATTTTACTTCTCTGAAGCATGCCCTTTGTATGTTTCAACATTTGATTGTGATGCCCAAGACCATGTTCATGATAGCCAATGGTTATCAATTAATAACCATGGGTCAGGCATTATGTTAAATACATTATGTTAAATACATTATGATCAATTTTAATTGTTTCAATACACTAAACAGCCAGCCTGTTCTTTTGCTATCCCCATTTTGAGGACAGTAGGTAATACTACAGAACAGAGTTGGAGAACATCACCCAAGATTGCATTACTCCAATGGTGGAGGTCAAATCTCAACTTAGGAAATCTTAGAAATGCTGTAATACTGGCTAGTTTTAGGAGTTGAAATTACTTATTAATCTACTCATGATCCCTACTTTGTGGAGGTTCATAGTCTCTACTCTCTGAAGGAAAAACCCACAATTATTTGTCACAACTGTTTTGTCATCCTCAGGGCTAACACAGTAAATGAGTCCTTAAAACAAATTTATTAAGTGCTTGAAAAATATGGACTGATCCATCTTGCAGTTATATCAAAATTTTATGGACAATTTATGTTAATATATCAAAATTTTTGTTTGATAATATGAATTCCCAAATCACTAAACTCAAAAATCTTAACAGAAATCATGAAAATTACCTTTCTAGGCCTTGCTAACTGCATTTACCTGGAAAGTTCTTTATTTTTGTTTCCTATTAAACACTGATTCTCCACCACAGATACATATTCTTGGAGACTCTGTTTCATTTAGTGTGGCTCAGGGGATCTGTAATAAAATCATGGGAATAATACACATGGAATTCTGAAAATCAGCTGAAATTAGGAAACACTACTGGAGTCCAACTTCCTTCCAAATGAAAAACTCCTTATACATCAATTTTGTTTGCCTCTTGTGACAAGAAGCTCACCTGTTTAAAACCATCATTCCATTCCTTTGGAGAGTTCTGTAAAAGTAAGCTGTTACATCCCTTTACCTCTACCTATGGTTGCTATTTATGTTCCCTATAAAGATGCAAAATAAATATCTTTCTTACATATTAAAATCTTAAAATGTCATCAGGCAATGATGACACAATCCCCAAGTCTTTTTTCCTCCAGGTAAACATCTCCAGTTCTTTTAACCATTCCTCATGACTTGGCTTCTCAATGCTGTATCATTCTGGTCATGTCCTTCTGGATGTGTTTGAGGATGTCAATACCCTTCACCCCTATCAACACATGGCATCTACACCAGAATAGCATGTGCTGCATATTGTCTGATTGCTGTAGGAAAAAACTGGCACTTAACATTTTTGTTCTAGGCTATCTAGATTTGATTAAACAATAATAACGTTATTTGAGATTATGTTGTCTACAGTGCTGTTAAGCTGGACTCACCTGTTCCTCCATCCCTCCACCAATATTCTCATATGGGCAGTAATTGTTAAACTATGTCCTGGAATCTATAAATCCAAGTGCACATTATCTAGAAGTGCATATTACTTTTTTGTGAACTGGGAAGCCCATCAAAATCACATTCTGATACATTAATGGAAAAATTATATTGGTCTAAAATTAATTTTGGAATTAAAAAATATATTAGTTTTTTCCTAAATAGGATAACCACTCTTATTTTGAACTACTTCATAGATATTACAATGACAACAGCTGGAACCACATAATTTTAGGGTGCTGCTGTAGGCCTCTGCCCAATATTCAAGGGCTTTAAAACCAGAAACAAATAATTCCCATATCCTTCTTACATGTGTGTTCTTTAGAAAGAAAAAAAAGATTGGCTGCCTTTACATTTCTTTTCTTTGTTGTGTTTTAAAAACAGTGGATAATCGCAAAACATTTCATGTTTTAATGTGCTCTGAAACTTTTTTTTTTTAATTTTAGGGGTGTGTTCAAAAAACTGTCCAGGGAACTTAGCCAACTGCCTCCCATTAGCATGAATGGAAGTTCAGCAGACTTACTGCATTTCACTTTGAACATTTGCCCCTTCATGTTTTTCCAACCAAATAAAAGTTAACACTTAATTATCCCATTACTTTGAAATTTTAAAGAAAAGTTTTATTTTTGTCTTAGTTATTCCAAACTGGAGCTTAATTTATTTAATATTCATTTTTCTTCCAAGGAATTAAAAGAAGTAGAGAGGAAGAAGGGAAAATACATAAATACATATTAATATAAACATAAATACTAACAGTTCTTTACTGTAGATATATACTTGTAATAAATTCAAGTACTACAGTAGATTATGGATAGAGAACTATTTATTTCATTTACCATAGAACCTTGATATGAATATTCTTTGTAATCACAACGACAAAGTAGATTTTATTGTTCTAACCTTGGTTTCTATTTCTATAACATTTACTGATTTTATATAGTGAGTACTTT